CAAAACCCGGAACATCATAAGTCACAAGCTACAGAAGAAAATTAGTATCTTCATACACCAGAGTCTAATAAAAGAAGTAAGGAAGGTAAATAACATAGGAGGGAATAGAGGGGGACTCCGAGGTTTGCGGACGCGACAGATATACTTTGAAATCTCCGTACAGCAGCAAGCACTCTCAGCTAGTAGTGGGACTAATAAAAAATACATGAATCTGCATACAAAATATATGCAAAAGAGTAGCATGAGTACACCACAACGGTTGCCAGTAAGTGTCAAGCCTAACCTCGGTAGAGTAGCGACGAGGTCAGACCCGGGTCCTACTGGATATAATAATAAGACAGATGCTATAATAAAAATGAAGTAAAACAGAGAAGACAACATCAAGTATTCACAAAGCAATAACAACACCGCACAATGATATAACAACAGGGGCGCTCCCGAGATACCATCTCGTAGTCCCAAAAGTAAACATACAGGGAGAACTCCCGAGGTACCGCCTCGTAGTCTCAAAAGTAAATATGCAGGGAGAACTTCCGAGGAACCGCCTCGTAGTCTCAAAAGTAAATATGTAGGGAGAACTCCCGAGGAACTGCCTCGTAGTCTCAAAAGTAAATGTGCAGGGAGAACTCCCGAGGAACAGCCTCGTAGTCTCAAAAGTAAACACACATCTTAAACCGATAAATACAACAGTTAACAACATGATTTCTACAGTTAATACTGATAAAGAAAAAGGAAAACAGAAAATCAACTAGTCATACTTCAGAGAATTCAAATAAGCAGTTAAAGCACGTAGACATGCGATATTAGACTAACCAGGATAACTACACAGGTTGGTATAACACAATTAAGAATGAAAAGCAGATTACAACTCAGAAAAATGGTATAAACCAAATTAAAAGGAAAACAGGCTGCTACTCAGTAAAATTATTTTTTTTACAACAAATAGCATGTGTACGTACTCGTCACCTCGCGTACACGGCGCTCACATATCACAACAGTACCAAATCCTAAGGGGATTTTTCCCACACAAGGTTAGGCAAGCCACTTACCTCAAACCAAGCTCAATCAATCGATAACAATACTCTTTCCACGGATATCCGGCTCCGAATGGCCCAAGTCTAGCAAAAAATAATTGCATATCATAAAATACAACTATAATAGACTAATCTAATTAATGAAATCAAGACTTTAACAAAAATTTTGAAATCCTTCCTAAAAGGTCGACCCAGGCCACGTCTCGTAATCGGACAAAAATTAAAAAAAATCCGAAAGCGCATTCACTCACAAGTCCAACCATACCAAATTTATCAAAATTCTACCTCAAATGACCACTCAAAATCCAAAATCAAACTCTTCAAATCCCTAGTCTCAGACTCCCAAATTCCACCTTAAATACACACTAACTAGGTGGAAAAATAAATGGGGAAGCAAAATTATTGATCAAAAATAAGCACAAGGAACTTACCTCACGAAATTCCCCAAAAATGCTCTTAAGAAATCGCCAACCCGAGCTCAAGAATGAAGGAAATAGCCAAAAATCTCGAAGCCTCGCTTAAAAGGGTTCTGCCCAGGCTTTCCCACATCTGTGGACCACCAGCCACACATGCGACGCCGCACCTGCGGAAAAATTATCGCAGGTGCGGATTCCACTTACGTCCAGGGTTTCCACTCCTGCGATCCCAAACCTCCCAGGCCCCTCCGCTTTTATGTTCAAGCTTCCGCAGAAGCGACTCCGCTCCTACGACCTTCATGTCGCACCTACGACCCCAGGCCAAACTCCTCCAGCCCGCATCTGCGATCCTTCTCTCGCACGTGCGAGTCCGCACCTGCAGTCTCCCCACTGCAGGTGCGAAAATACCAGAAACCAGAAGCTTCAACCATTTGCCTAAGTCCAAATTCAATCCGTTAAGCATCCGAAACACACCCGAGGCCCTCGGAACCTCAATACAATATACCAACAAGTCCTAAAACACCATACAAACTTAGTTGAGCTCTCAAATCACATCGAACAACACTAAAAATACGAATCACCCTCCAATTCAAACTTAATGAATTTGAAACTTGAAACTTCTACAACCGATGCCGAAACCTATCAAATCACGTCCGATTGACCTCAAATTTTGCACACAAGTCATATTCGACATTACAGACCTACTCCAACTTCCGGAATTGAAATCTGACCCCGATATCAAAAAGTTCACTACCGGTCAAATCTTCAAAAATCCGACTTTCGCCATTTCAAGCCTAAATAAGCTACAGACCTCCAAAACACAATCCAGACACACCCCTAAGTCCAAAATCACCCAACTAAGCTAACGGAACTGACGAAACTCCATTCTGAAGTCATCTTCATATAGTTCTGACTACGAACAAAATTCTAAGATTTAAACTTCCGTTTAGGGACTAAGTGTCCCAAAATACCCCAAAAACCAAAATAAAACCTCCCGTCAAGTCACATAAGCTGAAATAGATACGGAAAAAATAGTAAATAGGGAATCAGAGCTATTACTCTCAAAATAACCGGCCGAGTCGTTACACTAAAACCCTTATATCTTCGGTAGCAACTCTTGTCGCCGCAATATCCTAAGATTTGGTGGCAACCTTGGTCGCCACAATTACTAATCATTTTTTGTGACAACGTTTGGTCGCCAGTAATACTTGTTCTTTCAACAACTATATTTTTCAAAATCATATTGTTTTCAGTGGCGCTCTAATTTATATAATTAATATACATGTATTAAACACGGAGCACTATAATATTCTTTTGGGGTATACCAGGAAAAGTTAACACAATCCATAGCAATGTTAAGCAAAAGCTCGACAATCGAAGAATTAACCAACAAATAGTTTGGATTACCTAGAAATAGTAAAGGTCCATGGGGAGATAGGCTAATCTTGAGTATCTCTATCTTCTAAAAACATAACCTCAACACGTCCAACACCACATTTATCCTTCATGTCAAGGACAAAATTACCAATTTGATATATGCTCTCAATCAATTCCTCCTCTTTTTGCCAATACAACTACCCCCAATGCCTTTCTCTACTAACAAAACAAACTGCAACAACAAAATATCAATAATCTACAAATAAAAAACAAATAAATACCCAAACACTATGAAAGTTCGTGCTTCTGCTGCCAAGAAAAGAACAACCCAACTTTTATAATTAACACAAAATTACTACTCGATTTTTTGGAGAAAGAGATAGCAGGAGATTAGATGTTGTCAAGACCGCGAATCAAAAAATAGTTTACTACTCAATTTTTTCAGAGGCCGAGAGAAGTTCAGCGTCGGACTGAAAACCCGGAATACCCGCTGACTCCTTACCACAGACTATTACTCTATGAATTTCTTTTCGTTCCTTTAGATTTTCAACTGGGTTAGAGAAATTATAGATGAAATCTGTGAAATCATTGAAATTATCGAGAAAGGATTTGAGTTTGAGATTGGAGCAAGTAACGATTTCTGATTAGGGCTTTTGTGTTGCTATCAGATGGGTCACAATTTGTGATTTGAGCAGTTAGAATCGAGAGATTTGAGTGGAGAGGAAATTGAGTGGGAAAATTTTCTCTAGAGAGACGAGCAAGGAGAAGAATACCTACATCAGTCTGTGCTTCTTTTTTCATTTAATAAGAGTGATTTTTTTTATAAACTTTTATTAGTGCTAGAGGCAACTGAGTCGCCACAAAAAGGCCTTCAGAGGCGACTGTATATAAAGTCGCTACAAAACTCTCAAGCCAAAATTTCGATCTTAGCGGAAAAGAAAATTCAGTGTTTAACTGAACGTATTAGGAGCGACCTTTGAAAACTCACCACTAAGAGTGTACCTTCTGTAACGATAATTATAGTCGCCACAAAAAGTATAGCTTTTGTTGCAGTAAATCACGTCGCCACTAAATATTGCCACAATAAGTCTGATTTCTTGTAGTGTATATCACGTAGATAATTTCACTAATGAAAATTAAAAGCCAAATTTGTATCTTGAAATTAAAAGAGAAAATAAAATAAATGCACGTAATACAAAAACTAATGATAAGAAAATTTCAATAGATTTGAAACATTATAAAATAACTTTATGCATTAATTCTTAGACTAATTCAAAGTTATATTTTAAAATAAAATGTGATATTATTTTAAGTATATGTAAAATATTTATGTAAAAAACTAATTAAAATTTCTTAGAAGGGAAGAGAATGTATAAAGAGGAAAATAGAGATAGTGCGAGGATACTTTTATTTTTATATTTATTTAAAAATAAATAAATTAAATAATTAAATTATTAATAGATTTAACTGATGAAAGAGATCCGAGTAAGAGAATAATAGTATAAAAATACATTAAATTTCAAGAATAAAAAATTTGTACATCTATTGATAAATATTAGAAGGGTAATAAATAAGACAAAGTCAATTTATAAGATAATAAAAGATCACATTACAGTGTAGCAATATTAAGTAATAAATAATGCAAAAACTATAAGCAAGGAACAAAAATGAGAAAAAAATTCAATCTAAAAGTGTTGAAGAATAGGACTTATTTGAATTTGAGATGAAAAATAGAGTGACATTAAGAATGTTGTTAAAATAATATAATTTAATGTGCTCAAACAAGAAAGATCACAACGTTACACGTTTAGTATTCTTTAATATTGACCGTAAAATATAATACAAGTGTCAAAATTAAAGGGTTTGGTTATTACATATATAGAAAAAGAAAACAGGTTATTCACTTGAGATTTGAAAAATGGTTTCATGTCTTGCTTCTTAATTAATATTAAATAATTACTTATAATTTATATATAGAGATTTAATTTTAAAGTTATTTACACCTAATCCAAATAATCAAAATCATAATTTGATATGATTTATGTACGCTGGATCGCACTTATACTAATACTAGTCAGTAATAATAAAGAGGAAGAATTACTTGGTGTCATTTCTGTATATAAATAATTCCTCAAGAAAAAATCACAATTAGTGGCAACTTTCCTGCAAATCTTACCGACAAAGAAAGTTGTCTTCTCATCTTGTCTACTCTATTCTTTGTTTCGTTATCAACTCTTACCACGTGTATATCCATATCTCTTTCACTTCAATCCCCGAAACTCAAACCTTTAACCGCAGTAATAAAGTAAAAACTTACAAAACACGCTTCTCTTTCTTGTCTTCTTCTTACCCACTGAGCTGACCTGATAGTGATGACAATAGTTAGTTAATTTATGAAAACTTAACCTCTGAAAATTTTGAACCTCCTTTTCTCTTACCTTTGAATTTTATCAATTCAGTAAGCCAATATACGCAAGGCATTTGAGAAAAAGTTTGATTTTTTCTGAATTCTGAAGAATCTGAGATTAAACCCCTTTTCCCTTTTTAAATTTTATATTTTTTCCCTTGATTATGGAGCGTTATGAGATAGTAAAGGAGTTGGGTTCTGGTAATTTTGGGGTAGCCAAGCTTGTTAGTGACAAGAAAACCAAAGAGCTCTTTGCTGTCAAATTTATTGAAAGAGGCCAAAAGGTTTTTTTTTTTTCCCACCTTAAATTTCATACCTTTACTTCATATTCGGTTATATATTTTTGATTTTTCATTAAAATATTTGTTAATTTATGTTCTTGGTGATGATATTATGGTTTTTTTGGTTGGACTATTTTGAGGTTGCAGATAGATGAACATGTGCAAAGGGAAATTATGAATCACAGATCATTGAAACATCCAAATATAGTCAGATTTAAAGAGGTGCGTGTGCTCTGCTTCTTACTGTTAGAAAGGATCTTTCTTTTTATTTATTCTGTTATCTGCGTTTATTCCTCCTGGGGATTCTGAAAATTGCTGCCATCGACGCTTATAATAAGGAACTATTTTTAAGTTCTTTGTTTAACCATGTGATCAACAACACCAACAAAACTAGTGTAATCCCATAAGTGAGGTCTAAGGAATGTAGTGTATACGTAGACCTTACCCCCACCTTATAAAGATGGAGAAGGTATTTCCGATAGACCTTCGGTTCAAGGAACAGTGAAAATAAAGCAACCAAACAACAAACAATAGTAACAACAATGTAACATGGTAACAGGCGCGAATGTCACATCATGTAATAATAAAGAACCATGAATAAGAAAATACAGGAATATTCCTAGTACTACTGGAAAGCCTAGGAGAAACACACTGCTACCTGTCAACCTTCAAACCTAATCCTCGACCTCCACACCTTCCTATCATGGGTCATATTTTTGGTAAGCTGAAACAATGCCATGTGTTGCCTAATTACGTCTCCCCGATACTTCTTTAGCCTACTCCTACCCTTCCTCAGATCCGGCATGGTCAACCTCTCACACCTCTAAACCAGAATATCTATGTCTCTGCTCACATGCCTGAACCATCTCAGTCTCGGTTCCCAACTTGTTTAACCATGTGATCATGTCTCATAAATGGTACCAACTCTGCTTGTTTTTTATTTTATTTTAAAATCACAAGTGGTAATGAATTTGATTATTGGAACAGAAGATCTGGTTGGTAAAATGGTAATGGTAGTAATAAGATACTTAAGCTATGTAATGCCATGATTCTTTTTTAAAAGACTCTGCTGCTCGCAATTAAAATGCAATCTTTGGTATCTTATGGATTGAAAGCAAATTAACTTTTCTGAATAGTAGCCATAATCTTATGAATTGCAGATTATTTTGAGTTTGGCAATTTTACAATTGGTGGGATTACAATGACTGTTCAGAATCCTTGTCCTACATCCCTTAAAACATTAAATAGTTTAGCAAAGAGAGATGTATCTAAGTGATTAGTAGACCTATCCTTTGCTTTTTAGTCATGAATTGACTTAACTCGTATAGGTCTTGCTGACACCGACTCATCTAGCAATAGTAATGGAGTATGCTTCCGGAGGAGAACTCTTTGCAAGGATCTGTAATGCTGGAAAATTTAATGAAGATGAGGTAAGAAACCAGTTCCTAATTAGCCTTGGCTAGAACGGACAAACTGCATATTGCTCGCAGCTGTTTTAATTTTATCTCCAATGTAATGAATTCATGGTTAGTAGTGGTCTACAATGATATTCATATGGTCCTTCGACGTGGGAGGTCCACTGGTTAATATGCTTTTTACATTTTTAGAGGCAGAACATTAAAAGGCCTCAAGTCATGGCTCTGTTGATGAGTAGTGAAGTTAGCTTCTTAACTTCCAAGAATGCCATCTTAAAAGTTGAAACCATGGAGTAATATGCATTGGAAAGTGTCCATTAAATATGTTATCAGTTGACTATCCTCATGTGTTAATGTATATAAATTCAAACTAAAAGCGTTTTTCCGATTTTACTGCTCAGTGAAGCATTTCCGAGCAGGCTCTTCTAATTTAATTTCAGCTGAGTGCTTGGTTATGTACTTGTTACTCAGGCAAGGTTCTTCTTTCAACAACTGATATCAGGGGTTAGCTACTGCCATTTCATGGTACATCATCTCTACTTCTCATGCTGTAAACTTCATTAATTCAGTCCTCCTTTGGAAACTAGTATGTTTCTGGTATTCTGTTGCAGCAAATCTGTCATAGAGATCTCAAATTGGAAAACACTTTACTCGATGGAAGTGCTGCACCACGTGTCAAAATATGCGATTTTGGGTACTCCAAGGTTACTGATCTTTTTCTCAAGTCTTAATTCTTGCTTCTATTCAAGGTTTAAGTTCATATTCTTAACTGCTACACTTGTTGCAGTCAACTGTCTTTCATTCTCAACCTAAGTCCACTGTAGGGACGCCTGCTTATGTAGCACCAGAGATCCTAACAAAGAAAGAATATGATGGGAAGGTGCTACTTCCTTCTTCTTTCCTTGCTAAAATTTTCCATAATGTTTCTCGTATATACTCATTTCTCTCCTTTTAATTCTTGGAACCATAGCTTGCAGATGTTTGGTCATGTGGAGTCACCTTATATGTAATGTTAGTTGGAGCTTATCCATTTCAAGACTCAAGCGATCCAAAAAACATTACAAAGACTATTGCTGTAAGTGATGGCAACATAATTAGATTTCTAGTGGATTACCCTGAATTTTGGTTATCAATTTACTGCATTAAATGAAGGGGAGCCTTGGCGTAACTGGTGAAGTTGCTGCCGTGGAAACAACCTCTTGGAGAAATGCAGGGTAAGGCCGTGTACAATAAACCCTTGTGGTTCGGCCCTTTCCCGGACCCCGCCCCGCGCATAGCGGGAGCTTAGTGCACCGGACTGCCCTTAATTTACTGCATTCAATGGATCATTCTATTAATGCAAGTGTCTAGCATTGAGCAATATACTGCAGCATTATGATTGGCTAGTTTCCGTGCAGAAAATACTAAGTGTCCGCTACTCAATCCCCGAACAAGTCCAAATTTCCCTTGAATGCCGCCATCTCTTATCCAGGATTTTTGTGGCAGACCCTGAAAAGGTAATAAATCATCAAGTCCTCTAATAAAGATGTGGATCATAGAATAGTTCATGTAATATGTCCAGAAATTACCTCATTGTCTCAATATATTATACTTAGACAAAAGGTTCAATCCCACCAAAGGCCCTCCCTTATTGTTCCTTCCATAAAATTGCATTCGCGTTTCATGATTAGTAAGAATACATAGCGCACCTCAGTATTGCGGATGTGCCTGAAGCATAATATAAAATTGGTGGTAATTTGCTGATTCTTTTTGCAGAGAATAACCATTCCTGAAATTAAAAAGCATCCCTGGTTTTTAAAGAACTTGCCAGTGGAACTGATGGAAGGAGGAAGTTACCAATGCGTCGATGTAAATAACCCCTCCCAAAGTATGGACGAAGTTCTGGCAATAATACAAGAGGCTAGAGTTCCTTTGCAGGTACCAAAGGGTGGAACCAATTCTTTTTGGGGCAGCATGGAACTTGATGAATTAGATGAAGCTGATATTGAAGATATAATTGAAAATAGTGGCGATTTTGTTGGTCAATTGTGATGTAAGTACACAGTAACATAATTACCAAAAGGGTGAACGTGTAGTGTGCTGTATTATCCAGAATTGACTCTCAGAGTTCACCCTATAATTTGCTGATATTTTATATGTTTGACTTGGTAAAGAGTGTTTACTACTTTTGAAACCTTGGTCTTGTGGAATTTTAGGTAGTTATCACACCTATTGGGCGCGGACCTTCCCGGCCCTTGCGTGAACGCGAGATGCTTCGTGCATCAGGCTGCCCTTTCTTTTCCTTGACACTAGATAAGGAGTACAATAAACGAAAATAACATAAGCAGTAACGACTAATATGTCGTAGAGGAGCAAAAAGAGAAGGTTTCAGAAAAACAGTGACTTCTGGAACTGAAATACATGGAGACGGTGTAAAGCAATCTCTAAGACGAAAATAATAGTTTATAAATTGGTGCTGGCAAGAAGTCACCAATTTTCTCTAAATTTGCATTATATTGACAACAAGAAAGTATAACTCAAGTGTTAGGTATAGTACTATAAATTGGCGTTGGCAACAACATTCAACAATTTTCTCTAAATTTGCCTTATATTTTAATCTGTCTAACTCAACTGTTAAAAGTTCATATTTATTTTCTAGATTTTAGAAGCTCACAAGGCGCATCGAACTGTGAGTTGTCTGAATTTGGAATTACTATATATTTTAATTTTTTTTTTGGCAATGTAGAGTTTTAGTGGCGAAATCTCTGACCTTTATAACATAGCATTCATTGTGTCCGTTGAATATGCCAAGACAACATTGTTGTCGTACTAAAATTGTCCCATAGAACGATTTTTCAACAATATTCCGTTTGTAGGTAGCATAAGACGTGAACTCAATATCTTTGTTACTTTGTAAATCGGCATATATACAGGTTATCTTCAGAGGACGACAATGTTCAATTATATGCATGCCAAACGTATAGAAGAACATCAGGACAAACTCAGGTAAGACATGTTCTCAAAGGAAAGCGGTAAAATTACTAAAATCAGGACACGTTGTTTTCCACCGGAGTACTAATTCCACAATCATTGTTTTTATGTTTTATATTTTATTAAAATGTTAACGATGTGATCAGAAGTTAAGATGAATAAAATCAACAAATAAACTCAAACAAATGTGAGTGTACTAGCGACTGGACTTATTCAACATACAGCAATAGAACTTTTACCAGGGGCGTGAAAGACTAAATTAAAAAAGAACAAAAAGAAAGTTTAACAGCAGCCTGTATAACTGTTAAGATCTCCCCATACAGCTTCCTCGACTTCTTCCCATGATTTTGCCTTCCTTAGTTCCTTCCAAGTACCGAAAACAGCTCCGAGAACATTTTCATCATGCAAAATACAGTAGCACCTGTATCGACGAAAGTCGTTCAAGGTGAGTTTCTAGCATATTTCATGGCAAAAGGAGTACGACGCTCCAATCTACTCTACTCTATCTTCATCTACAGTTCTCATGTTGGCTATCACATACAACATTCGGTGGTCTCTAGTTCTAATTATCTACTAAAACCTCCTCAACTTAACAGTAATGCAGTATATAATGACTCGAGTTTGAAAGTGATTGAGGGGTCTGATTGATGAGAGTATCATATCGGTGGAAATCAACAATTCTAAAAATGACAAATGATGCCTCGATTTGGTGAAGGACGAGGGTCATGGATTCTAAGGCCTGAGTCCACATGTCAACATTAGCCCAAATATATGTCGGTTGCCACATAATCCAAGCACGCGTTACTATCTTCATAAGGTTGGGTATTATATAAGCTCTATTAGTGAAATTTGACTTTGAAGAACAAAAGGCCTCCAATTATCTCATGGAAAAACACACGAGGACAACATAGAAGAAATATGACATCGTCAGACCATATGTACTCACATGGCTCGGTAAGAAAGTCTCTGAAATCTGTTGCTTTCAGCTGATGCATTAAGTCCTCTTTTAACAAATGGAAGTTTATAGCTATCCAAAAACTGCTTCAGTAAACGTGGATCTCCTCTAAAGACATCCAGGTATATCGGGATTAAGTCAGAAATCGGGTCCCCTGAGAAAAAAACTGGGTTAATGATCACAGAAACTCAAATGTTTAAAACTAAAATCAAATCAATGAACATTTTATAACCTTCCACATCTTAAGTTTTTAGTGATGCAAGATTTACAGTGCTAACTTTAGACTGATCTAGTTAAAGTTAAGTAATGGCAGGTATAATATTTTCATGCAAGACTCTCTGTGCCAATTAATATCCACCAAAAAGCTTCTCTTGTCAGAAGTATGCGAAATCACTTAAAAAAGGTAAAGCCTTTTTCTAAAATGGACCTTAGATACCTTATTGATTAGCCTACATGTTAAAATAAGTAAACCTAATCTGCACATTGTAAGGAGGGCAGAATCTAACTGTGTCTTAGAATTACTATGCCAAACATATAGGAAAAAAAAATACTTCACAAATTATACTCACAAAACAGTAAATTGGAAGTAGTTACGACTCTGACTCTAAAACTTTTCTTCTTCTTCGTCTTTTTCTTAAATAAAAAAAAATGTTTTCTTTTAAATAGGCAAAGCCTGCCTCTGAAGCTGGTGCCAAATTCCAAATCTGTTCCATATCTATTTCCCTTTTTCTTTTCTTATTTTTCTCTTTTTCTGCTATTATAATCATTGATATTCATCTAATATGCTCATAAACTTTACCATATTCATTTGATACAAGCAGTTATTAAAAAGTTACCATCTTAGACATACCGTAACTTCTCCAAATTACACATAATCTAGGGCCAAGCAGTAGAAGCCTAGTAGAGTCCAAATAAGAACATGGTTCATTCATCAGGAAAAGAAATATGAAACTATCAGCAGACCAAGCCCGAAAAAGCAAGGTCAAAGTTGCTTAATAACTCACCAACTGAAAGATCACTGAAATCAAGTATATGAGTAGGACGCCATGCATGTCTAGGCTCACCCAAATCAGATCCATTAGCATAAACATTGTCAATCAACTCAGGATCATCAATAGTCCCTGCAGAGCGAGAAGCAACGGAACATGGTTCCATGTGGATATTGTCATCCATTACATCGGAGTGTATCCAGGTACAAGATCTGGATCCCATATCAACCTTATAAAGGAGACAATAAACAAGAAGTCAGAGAAATGCATTTTCATCAGAGGAAGGAAAAAGGGACAAAAGAAACAATAAAATGTCTAGCAGACTGAAGGAAGTCCAATGAATCACTTCATTCTTAAATATAAGAACCTTTCCAAGGCCATCAGGGATGTATTCCTCAACTTTCTCAATCAGTTCTCTGGGAATCGGATCACCCCTACAGATTGAAACAACAAAAGACTCAGATCCAACTTGTGCATTAGAAGCTCAAATTCACAGTGCTTGTGCCAGCATATCTAAATGTACAGTGAAAAGGTCACATATAGGTGTCACACTGCAAAAGAGAAATAGAGTAGAAAGCAGGCATCATAATACCCAACATACAGAGATTCTTTTTTGATGAAGAATTAACACATACAGAGATTAACAGGCCAATCTGTCTGAATAGATTTTTTTTCAATTAAGGCACAAATAACTGACGTACATTACCTTTTATGAAGTGAAAAAAAAAGTTAAAACATTAATCCAGTAGAAAACAAGCACCACAAAACCCAAAACACAGAGGTTAACAAGAAGTCCTTGGCTAAATATAATTCGTCCTCTATATTAAATAATAACTGAACATAATTGTCTTTCATGTGGTGAACAAGAGAGTTAAGCTAGGATAACATGCCGCCTCTACCATCTTAATTATGCAATATATAAGTAGTAAAAAAGTCATTAAGGATTTTAATTTTTCAATTCAAGAAATAACTTTATAAGAGTATCATTTCCCCCCCAATGTAGGTGTCTTATGAAATTTCAAAACTACATTTCTTTATAAAAGAAATTCATAACTATTAAACTAAAAGTTGAAATGCGTTTTATGTGTCTTTGTTTATTAAAAGTAGAGTTTAACTTTATTATATTTAAATCAAAATTAGTCAAATAATAGACATTTGTAGCATTATTTGGAATAGAAGAGGGCCCCAAGTACCATTTTGAAGAAACTAGTGGTAAGTCGTGGTAGGCAATAGTCCAAAGAAAGGCTTTAGTTTAATAGAATAACACATATCGCTGATCTGACACCAAATGAAGAGACAATTAAGAATCAAAAAAGAAAACATTCGTATTATCCCTGACATAGTTATTACATTAATGCAACACTAACCAACCCAAGAATTCTATAAAATAATAGAGAGGAATTAGACCCACAGTTTTATTATCTATGGCGTTTGTATCTAGGAGAATAAACGAAGATCATGGTGTCAAATATCACAGTCAAAGTCACAAAACCAGGTGAGTAGAAGCAAAGGTAATAAGAGAAGATTCACTACATAATACTGAGACTTTAAAGCTGCTTTGTGATCAACAAAGTATTCGGTATTAAAGGTTTACCATTTGGTCAAGCGGTTACAAACATCCTTCTTTCTCCTGTTCAGAGTTCTCAGGAACAAATTCCACTCTCCAGGAGCACAAATCTTGTCCTCATCATCCTCCACATACCCATTAGCATTGAGGAGTTCTTTCTGCTGGGATTCCGAATATATTGAATCATTCAAAGCTGGGCATGGCACAAGATGAAGGTTGCGCATTTGTTCTCCCAGGAAGGAGGCCAAATTTACAGTATCTTCCCATGAGATGGAATCTCTTCTGCTAACAAGAGCAAAGTAAATGAAAAGGAGGAGCAGTGCTTCAAAATAACAACTGAAAGTACTTCAAATGAATGATACAGTCAATTATAGACATCTATTAAAATATAAATGGATCTCACTAACATTTGAGCATATATTTTTCCTTTGCATCTCTGTGTTATGACATATGGCCATATTGTTGAGCCGCTGCCAGCGCTTACTAGTTCGGGTAATGACATCCCAGCTTTTTTAAAATCAAACTGCCTTTTACTCCACAGACCAAATGGATAATCAACTTGCTCAAGTTCCACAAGGGGACTAATGTTAGCAACCACCTCCGGAACTCCTTTGCAATCCCAATGCTGAACTTTATACAATCCATTTTCAATATAAAGAATCCCACTGGCCAAAACATTAGGAATGTGATTCTTCAGAGGGGAGTTTATTTTCTGGAGTAGACTGTAAAACTCAAGCTGCAAAAGATCAAACCATAACTGAATCAATAATAGTACAAAGAAATAGAAGGAAAAAAAAAACTGCCAGAACAACACATCTACCTCAGTGCCCAAAGAATGAAGACAAGCTTCTAATCCCTCTTCAACAAATATTTTTATAACATTGTCCCCAGCTAGATAAACCTGTACACAAGTATTACCACTTGTTAGGTTAATGATGATATTACATCTTTGTAAGAATAATTGATCTTCCACTCTTTCGTAAGACATCTCAACTTCAGCATTAACTCATTGAGATGAGAACAGCCTACTTGAGTATTGATGTTTTAACCCCTCAACATTATCACAAATGTTATAATGTCAGGCTCCAAGGATAACTAAAAGTTCCCTTCAACTTCAGTCTAGAGAAAAAAGTGACATTAAGAAATAAGCATAACAGTCGAAGATCCGCTAAGCACAAAAACTTACTGGATTGCTGCCTGTTCCAACAGGAAGCCTCTCATCATCAGTTGGCAACGGCAACCCATGGGAGGTACAAATTTCCGCCACATATGTGTACCATCTATCAGCATTCAGTGCCAGACAGGCTCCCTAGCAAAAATAATTCTAAGGTAGTCAGAAGTGATAACAGAAGCTTAAATTACATAAAAGTCACCCTGATGACAGATGACAATTATTAATCTAATACCTCATTGTGCACAGTATACATAACATGCGACTACGTGAGATCAGTTGTGCAGCTAAAAAAGGTCAAGGTTCCTGCTATGCAGCAACTTAGGCATATATACAACAACAACAACAACAACAAAAAACCCAGTATAATCCCACGAGTGGGGTCTGGGGAGGGTAGTGTGTACGCAAACCTTACCCCTACCTTGAGGGTAGAGAGGCTGTTTCCGAACTTAGGATAACTTAGTATCTTATTTCAAGGTCCAATACAAATAACAAACGGAAAGACATATAATGATAATTTTCTATTCCCCTAGCCACAATTGACTTTTTCCACGAAAGCTTCTAGTATACTTTGAAAAGTAATATTGACC